AACAGGAATCTGGCAATACATCTTTGTGTTCTACATGTAGACTGGCTACCACAAGATTTGATAAAGTTCAGATAGACGATAATATAAGGATTGATTGGTCTGATCTGCAGTGAAATATTTAGTGAAGCAATATTCTCTGTTGTAATTATATTAGATATTTGAGAGTGTTTAAGTGTAACAGTGCTATCTGAAATGTATCTGTAATCTGTCATGCAAGAAATTAGGTATCTTATTAACAATCAATATAAATTGAACTGGTTGAAATTGATCTCTGCATGATACAGGTTGAAATGCATCACTTATTGATGTAATTTAATTTACCAACCATGTATGTATGTATGTATGTATGTATGTATGTATGTATGTATGTATGTATGTATGTATGTATGTATGTATGTATGTATGTATGTATGTATGTATGTATGTATGTATGTATGTATGTATGTATGTATGTATGTATGTATGTATGTATGTATGTATGTATGTATGTATGTATGTATGTATGTATGTATGTATGTATGTATGTATGTATGTATGTATGTATGTATGTATGCATGTATGTATGTATGTATGCATGCATGTATGTATGTATGTATGCATGTATGTATGTATGCATGTTTGTATGTATGTATGTATGTATGTATGTATGTATGTATGTATGTATGTATGTATGTATGTATGTATGTATGTATGTATGTATGTATGTATGTATGTATGTATGTATGTATGTATGTATGTATGTATGTATGTATGTATGTATGTATGTATGTATGTATGTATCAAGTAGGGACCTTACAAAAAAAAGACACTTTGCCTCAGAATTTTTAAAAAATGATTCTCAACTGTTTGCTTTGAAATTGGGCATCAGTCACCATTCAATAATTGTAAACTTCAGCTTCATCTGAACTGCAATAATTATGTCAGAAAACATCAAAATCTTTAATCAATCAATCAATTAATCAGATCAATCAATCAATGTTCTATCTCTGATATCAATTAGAGCTGCTATTCAACTAAAATAAAGGGTATTAAAGAAGTTAAACAAAGCCTAGAGCATTAATCAAACAATCAATCAATCAGATCAATCAATCAATCAGATTAATCAATCAATCAATCTGTTCTCTTCCCTTCATTTGAGCTGCTCCTCAACTAGAATAAAACATATTTACCAAAATCAATTTTGAGAAATGATACAATAGCACTGTTGGATAATTTTATAACAATATGAAGGACACTACCCAAGTAAACCAAATGTTTTCAGGTAAGAGAAACAGGTCTCTAGCTCAGTGTTAAAATTATACATATGCATACACCGTAACCCATTAATATCTCATCTCAACTTTCTTTTTTGTTATACTTTATGGTAGAAGACTACTCAAACTATCCTCATTCAGAAATCATTCTTATCTAAATATCCTGAAAACTGAAAAATGGAAATATGCTAATACATGAAAGCAAGACTGCCACAAGCCATCAACAGTATATTATATCCCCACCATGTGGTAAATAATCTTATTATAGTTGTTTTATCTAAAACACTCATATTGGGATACTTGAGTACTAAAGATCATAGTACCTGTACTCCATACAGTTCCACTGTCACTAAGTGATGCTAAATAAATGAAAGAAGCTATTTCACTGATCAATGATGCCAAAGTGTGTTTTGATAGTTGTCTGAGTATCAGCAAATCTGATGGGTGAGAAAGCCTGCATTTTCCTTATGGTGATGTTTAGGTTTTAAGTTTTATTACTGAACTGAAGTTATTTTGCAGAGACCATATTTCTTTATACAGTCATATTGACCTTGACCTATCACCTACAAATCACAAAATTGATAGATGCTTTTATTGACTGAAATACTAACCATCCACAAAGTTTGTTTATATTCTGAGGCAAAAGATTTTCTGGAAACCTTTGTCTAGTTTCTTGGAGTCCCTTTGACCTTTTAACACCCAAATCAATTGGCAACTTTTGTCTAGTTTCTTGGAGTCCCTTTGAACTTGTAACACATAAATCAATTGGTACCTTTTGTCTAATTTCTTGGAGTCCCTTTGAACTTGTAACACCCAAATCAATTGGTACCTTTTGTCTAGTTTCTTAGACTCCCTTTGACCTCATAACACCCAAATCAATTGGTACCTTTTGTCTAGTGTCTTGGAGTCCTTTTGACCTATTAACACCCAAATCAATTGGTACCTTTTGTCTAGTGTCTTGGAATCCCTTAGACCTTTTAACATCCAAATCAATTGGTACCTTTTGTTTAGTGTCTTGGAGTCCCTTTGAACTTGTAACACCCAAATCAATTGGTACCTTTTGTCTAGTTTCTTGGACTCCCTTTGACCTCATAACACCCAAATCAATTGGTACCTTTTGTCTAGTGTCTTGGAGTCCTTTTGACCTATTAACATCTACATCAATTGGTACCTTTCGTTTAGTGTCTTGGAGTCCCTTTGAACTTGTAACACCCAAATCAATTGGTACCTTTTGTCTAGTTTCTTGGACTCCCTTTGACCTCATAACACCCAAATCAATTGGTACCTTTTGTCTAGTGTCTTGGAGTCCCTTAGACCTTTTAACATCCAAATCAATTGGTACCTTTCGTTTAGTGTCTTGGAGTCCCTTTGAACTTGTAACACCCAAATCAATTGGTACCTTTTGTCTAGTTTATTGGAGTTTCTTTGACCTTGTAGCACCCAAATCAATTGGTAACTTCCTTGTCTCAAATACAATCCATTCACACAATTTTAGTCAAAGTAGGTGCAAAAGAATTCATAATATTGTTTGCAAATATTATTTGAGTTAATTTACTATTGTCGTTTGACCTTTCAACTCCAATGTCAATAGGTAATTTTCTTACCACAAATGCAAGCCATTTATAGTTTCATTAAGGTATCTGGAATACATGTTAAGACACTTCTTTCAATTCCTGTTTTACATCAAAAGCAAAGGAATTTTGCCTTGGATATGATTTCATATTTTACATCAAATTCATTGGGATTTTGCCCTGGATGTGATCTCATATTTTGCATCAAATTCATATTGAATTTGTCCTGGAATTGATTTCATATTTTATATCAAATTCATTTGGATTTTGCCCTGGATGTGATTTCACATTTTATATCAAATTCATTGGGATTTTGCCCTGGATATGATTTCACATTTTACATCAAATTCATTGGGATTTTGCCCTGGATATGATTTCACATTTTACATCAAATTCATTAGGATTTTGCCCTGGATGTGATTTCATATTTTACATCAAATTTATATTGATTTTGTCCTGGATGTGATTTCATATTTTACATCAAATTCATTGGGATTTTGCCCTGGATATGATTTCACATTTTACATCAAATTCATATTGATTTTGTCCTGGATGTGATTTCATACTTTACATCAAAAGCAAAGGGATATTGCTCTGGATGTGATTTCATATTTTACGTCAAATTTATATTGATTTTTTCCTGGATGTGATTTCATATTTTACATCAAAAGCAAAGTGATATTGCCCTGGATGTGATTTCATATTTTACATCAAAGTCAATGAGATTTCGCAGTTAATGAGAATTCACAGTTAATGAGACTTCATCACAGTTTACATAAAAAAATCTCTGAGATGTGGCCTTGATGCAATTTCACATTTTACACCAAATTATAAGGGATTTAGCCCTAGATGAGATTTTTTCACATTTTATCTATCTCTTAAAAAAGATTTCTCAAATACATTCCATATATTTTTAAAAATATTATGAGTTTAAAATTTGAAAATAAAATGCACAGGTCACCATTATTGATATAAACCTAAAGGAACATATTTTTCTTCTAATCAAACATTGTTGCTCATGAGAGGTGGTCTCTCATAACAGGCCTGTACAGAAGGACCAGTTTTCAAGGCTGAATTTCAAATGGGTTTAAGCAGTAAATTTACAGAAAATTACTGTACAAATATTTGTTCTTTATTCATAGTTCTTGTCAAAATATTATGTGTTCACATGAAAATGATATTAAAAAAAATCTTATACAACACAAAAAAATACATTTAACATTATTTTTATTTGATGTTCAAATGTAGTCTAATGGCATTGTGGGATGTGAATTGTAGTTAACTAGAAGGCAACACTAAGTTATCCAGTCTGTAAATTGGAAATTGGTTCTCCATGTAAATTAGTGATACATGTACTACAGTATATGTCACCCAAACAGTCATTTTATTTTGGACATTGATCAGTTTAGTCCACAAAGTTACAACCTGCCAAAAATAATTTACTCTAAATGTCTTTTTTGAGACAGGATATTAAAGTTAGAATTACCTGAAGCTATTTTATTGCAAGTTGTAAAATGAATTTTTTTTTTTAAAATTCAAAATTAAAATGTTTAATTTTAAAATAGTCAGTTTATAAAATTGTTTTTGCTGTAATATATTAGTTCACCAAAAGATTGCAGACATGTAAAGTCTGTTGATGAGGATGGTTCTGACGAGGATGGTTCAAAGTGAATTTCTCTGTACAGAAAGTTTTTCTTCTTAAATGCAAACTGCAAAACATATTTAAGAATGAGCTGAAATATATTTTAAAAACTTGATATCTTTAACCTGCAAATTACTCATACATCCAAAATAATAATTAATACAAATATACATATATTTTAGGCAATATTGATAATACTGAGACGCCAATCACATATCGATCAATGCAAACTTTCCTCAAGAAAGCAATTTTCTTATTAAGAATGATTTGTTGGTTTTTGTAATACTTTTAACAAATTAATGCTAATTAACATTAATCATCACACTAATTAATTAACATTAATTAGCATCCTAATTAACATTAATTGATTAACATTAATTATCACACTGGGTAATTAACATTAATTGATTAAAATTAATAAATGATAATTATCACACTAATTAACATTGATTAATTGACATTAATTATCACACTAATGAAATAGAGGCTAAGTGCCTTTCCAAATTATACACTGATACAGAAGACCTGGAAAGTATACTATAACAGGTATCGAACTTGAAACACTTGGATTACAAGTCCAACACTCTACCAATTGACTAAGCTACTGCAGCTCCTCATTACAAATAATTCTTATTAAAATTTATCTTCACAGCTTTCCTAAACTGTGCTTTCTGTGACCAGGGGCTAAAATATTTGCTCTTATTATATGGGTCGTGGACTTCTTAACCAAATTTATATTGGTTCTAGTCCTACATCACCTGTGTTCCAGTATCTGAAATTGTTTCAAGCATGCAATACACCATTCATTATTCTGTGCATTGCTTGGTTATAATTTCCTGTTAGATTGCAGTTTAATTTTTCATTTATTACATGCATCTACATCTACATGATTTGATATACCTATATAGCTGGCACAATTCCAAAGAGATGAAGTCCATTGGATGTTTTGAGGGTAAAAATAGCTGGGTCCAAAGGCGCCAGACAAAAGGTACTTTAAGGAGTAATCAGTCTCTGTCTGATATGGCTTTTCTCTGTAACCTCATCTCGGTATTTATTCCCAACAATGCCAGTCTAATATCATGTAACAATCAGACCATTTTACACTCTGGCTGTATCTACAAAAGAGGCAATCTTTTTGGTTAGTATCAAGATAAAACCATTTCCTCTTTTGAACTCAGGTGAGCAATACATGCACCTCAAACTTACTTGAGCAATAAGATTGTCAAAAATTAGTCACTTGATGCAAGATTAGCACTATTTTCATTTAAATAACTTAGATGCCATCAGATTACATTTGGTGGAAATCATATGTCGATATAAAGATCCATTTAGGACAATCAGCAACAAGATGTAAAATAATTTATGTTAATTGTGGCAGCCATATTCAAGTGTTTGTGTGTGTGTGTGTGTGTGTGTGTGTGTGATTTTGAATTTTAACATAGCTTTAAAAAAATTTCAGTCATATTGCTACGATGTCTGCAGTGTGTCAGTTTATGGTGATTTCTAGCATTGGGGAACCAATGTGCAGACACGAAGCATCAACTCCCACGCAGTCACATTATCCTGACACCAGGAAGACTAGTCTTAACAATAAGCTCTTAATGCTCAGCTCCAAGCGAGGTAGCTGTAAGCACCATTTTTATTATAAGTCTTTGGCATGACTCGGCTGGGGTTCAAATCCACATCCTTCTGCTTCCAAGGTTGATACTTTTCCATTAAAAAATAGCAAGATTTTCAAGATGGCTGCAATGCTAGCAGCATCATTATTTATTACCAACTATACATCATAAGAAGTCTTCTGGTTAAACCCAATCTTGATATGACTTTCTACCTATAAGATTGTAAACATGGCCAATGTGGCAGTCACCTGGATATCAGATCAGCAAAAGTTAGGACCAGCTAGACACCAAAGGAAATTATCTGTAGAAAATCCCATGCCTATATTACGTTCCATTCAGAAGGGGTAGCAACAGCAAGGTTTCAAAGATGGATGAAATGAATGCCATATTGGACATCAGATCAGCACCAGTTTTATTTTTGGACATCAGATCAGCACCAGTTTTATTTGGGGTTAACTAGACATCATAAAAAGCTTTTAATAGAAAGCCTCAGTTTGATTTGATGATCCATTCATGTGCAGTAGCACTAACAAGGTTTTCAAGATGGCTGCCAGGTTGGCTCTAGTTTTCATCTAGAAGCATCTAAATAATCATAAGTTTTGTTTAGTGAAAATGTCATTCATGACATGTAGCAAAAACAAGATTTTCAAGATGGGCACTGTTTTAGTCATTTTGGATGCCAAACAGCACCATTTTTATCCAGAACCATCTAAACTTGTGCTAATGAGCAGATTTACAATGCACAACTGGCCAGCCAGTCAGCTCTTAATTATGGTCTATGACTAGTAGAACAGAAAACCTGAAGCCATAATGCAACACTGTTATAAAGGAATTTGTTTTATAATGATCTGTGTTATAATGATGTGTGTTATATTGGGGTTACCCAGCAGACTGTCAGTCATCCAATGGTTCAATATGTCAATTATGTCATTGACAATTAACAAATTTGACATATGTGTATGTATGTGTATGATATATGTTTATGTATGTGTATGATATTTAGTTATATATATATATATATATATATATATATATATATATATATATATATATATATATATATATATATATATATACATTATTGTTAAACTGTATAAATGTTTAATATTCACTTTTGTGAAATAAATGCAAACTTTGTAGCTTCATATGATGTAATTATTACATTATGCCAATATTTATATGATATCTCAATCATTACTACTCTGGGATGGTCTAATTGATTTGAGTGTCCACCTTGGGTGAAGGAGGATATGGTTGAAAAACCCCAGCTGTGTCCCACCAAAGACATAAAAATGGTACTAGCAGCTGCCTAACTTGCTGCCAAACATTAGAGGTTAGTGTTTGGACTAGTTTACCTGATGTCAGGGTAGTGTGACTGAGTACGACATCATGCTACTTGTCTGTGGCATGATGCCCCAGTGCTAGACATCATTTTTAACTGCTACACTTCAGACATCGTTAAGATATGGCTGAAATCTTTTTTAAAGCTAGGTTAAAAATCCAGCACACATGTGAATGCATGTGTACACACAATGTCATATCGCTTTGAAATCTTGGACAGATTTGACATAAAATTATTTTGAAATATGTCTCATCTTAAATAATGACTAGCCATAAATTGACAGCATAGGTTTTCAGTTGCTTAAAATCAATGTGAGGTCAATAACTGTGTCACAAGTGAACTAATTCACTCATGAATATGCCCCTTTCTTTTTGCAACACATTTCTAACTGTAGCACAAAAATCAATATGCACACCAACCCCCATACATTTTGTAAGTCATTTTGTTAGTAATTTATGTTGCCCCTTTTCTTTATTTCACTTACATATATTACCTTTATACATGGGGCACCTGTCTATAGAGGACATATTAGTTGTCCTAAGACCCACTGTACTTGCAGCTTCTATGGCAAAGAGGCTTTCATGTCATACTGCAAGATACTTCACTAAATTTTTATATGGTGCATAATTCCATAAAAGTCAAGTTCAAAGGCAATCTGCACAGACCCAAATCTACCATCACATAATGCATCGGCAAATCTGGGTCTTAAGACTAATCAGTAGAACAAGCAATACAAACCCTAACTTTCCAGGGCATAAGAGATCGAGGTCTATCTTGACCTGCAAGTGAGTAGTTGCATGTATAAGGTAAGGTACTAATGCCATCTACCAAAAGGATCTAATAAAGGAACAGAAGAAAATGAAAATAAAAATTTACAGAACAACGAATATTAAATGAATTTGACAAGCAACAACAAACTTTTAGAACTGCTGTGACAGGTAACACTCACTTATTCAGTGCTGCATGCCAATTCATATTTGTCCCTTTAAGTTAAGCTGATTTAGTGGAGAATATAAATTGGTCCAGTGAACAGGAAATTTCATAACTGTGTTTATAATATATTTAAATAAATCATTATCATTTTCAGTACATATAACATTACAACTTGCATCTCAGGGCTAATCTAAAGAGAATGGCATGCCACCATTGGCACTTGTGCAATACATTGATGACACCTAGTGTAAGACAATAACCTCTGTTTTTTCTTCTGTGTAGAACTGTTGTACCATGACTCAGTAAAAGGGATAACAATATGCAGAAATTTTCTCTTTATGGGGACATTAAAAGATTTTTAAAAAAACAGCTGTTTTAAGGAAGGTGTCATGTAATCTTGATCAGCATATTCAGTGTATCCATAATGAGGAATTAATTAAAACACATATCTTCCAATCAACAAAGAAAAACTATCTGAAGCCTTTTTATAAAGGGTACTCAAGTAACCACAGGTTTGTCTCTTGTGCATGGCAGGTGTCCTCTACACATGAGGGGTATTCTTAAAAAAGGTTAAATATGAAAGGTATTGTTTTAAAAAAAAATGGCACAGAAATAAAATTTCCTTTATGAGCAGGTATACTTGAAACCACACTGACTTTGAATGGCATGAGAGGCGGAGGCAATAATTAGGTAAAGTATGGTACATCATCTTGGAATCATGTACATGTGCAGCTGTCACCTGCTTTATAATGGCTATAACAACCTACACAAATTAATCAAGACTAGGTGAGGCTTATGGTTTCTGAGACATCAGTTTTAAATAACTTTGGATCAATTCTAGATAACAGTTAATAAATCTTACAAAACTGGAGGAAAAAGTATACAACAGCTTTTGAATCACTGCTAGTTTAGACTGATATACAATTTGCTACATGTATTTTCATCATAAAATATAACTTATATGACTTTTGATTTTAAAGCAAAAATTATATAATACCAGCTTTGAATGAATGTGTATAAATTCTAAATAATATGTTGAGTATATTTAATTTACATTGTTTGTTTGTTAGTTTTTATTATATTTTTTTAATTCATTACATGATATTGTAATGTAACACTGTATGTTGGACTTGACCTTGTCCAAAATTGAGTTCATTTCTGCTTGACCTGAGCTAAATTTTTAAATTGTATTCTGTGTAAACAAATAATACTTAGCTTAATTATTCACTGTGTGTATAGGTTTAAAATCAGAATTATTACCAATAGAATTAAATGTGTTTCTTTGGGTTAGTTCTAGTCTTGGGAATTTCCTTTGAGTATTTTACATAATCAGGGTATGGTTTTTATTTTGTAAACATTAAGATCATTCTAGAAGGTAAGTTTCTATTAGATAATGGTTGCTTTTTATTTAGAAAATTGCTAATTGTGACCTGAGGTCAAGTAGAGAATTATTTAAACTTGTAACTGAGAGGATTTTTCATTTGTGCTTTAAGCCCTAGCACCTTTAAGGTGTATTATATGTTGTTTCCAGTATTTCATTTGGGTCTGGAAATTTTATTTCTTCAAATTAATGAATGCAAATGATTATTTTCTCTGTAAATAAAAATGTGCTCTGAAAATTCATGGATAAAGACATATATACTAGAACTTATAGTGAATTCAAGCCTGGAATTATCTAACTGTGATTCAATAAAAAAAACTGTTGACACATCAAC